CAATCCATTTTAAATATTAAACAAATTAGTGATTAACTAATGGATAAAAGTACAAATAAGCCATCCAACTATTTTAATTAAGTCACTTTTTTCTTTTTGAAAAATGGCGTAACCAATATATTAAATCAAGAACTGAACGATAGAGTCAGGAGGAATTAAATCCCAATACATAAAGTGGTCCTGATCATAGGCTAATCTAGCGAGAGTATGCGCATGTAAATTTAAAGTTCTAGTAATAAAACTGAGCAAACAATAATTGAAACTATTGATAGCTATTCTACATTGATCTACCATAATTCCAACATAAGATAAATTTGACGTAGCTATTGAGCGAACAACATTCTTCAATACGAGGCGATCCGTAAGAATATCCACCTCGACCTCGTTTCGGTCCTTAAGCAAGGACAAGACTTCCTTGCATGCTAGTGCTTTCGCCATAAGAGGGGAAAACACCCCGGGAGCTTCCTGTTGGCTGCAGCTCTGAACATACCATCATGATCGAGCAAGACCGCCCCGTAAGTGGCTTGCCCGGTTGCCAGATTGTAGCCAGCATCGAAGTGGCACTTCATCCGCATGCCCGCCGCTGCCTGCGCAACGTCGGAGGGCGCTTGTGCCGAGCGAGCATTCACCTCCGTGTAGCTTGCTTCCCCCGCGGCTGCACGGCGCCAGACAGTCTCCGGCCTCCTCACTGCGTGATCCCATACAGCCTCGTTTCTGGCCATCCATAAATAATAGAGGACCCCATAAGACGCCTGACTTGTTCGCCTGTGAGCATATACATAGCAGTCATAAGCCAGTTTGGAAAAGAAGGAGAAATAATATTCATAATGGGCAGCCCCGAAATATTCCATACGGCTCTAGAATAATTACATAAAACTAGTGAATGCATAACATTTTCATGGGTGAGGCCACATAACATGCATGTTGGGTCCACATCCACTCTCTTTATAATCAAATTTGTTGTGGTTGGGAGTATATCACACACCGCTCTCCACAAAAAAGTTTTCCACTTGGGTGGGACTCTCATCTTCCACAATGTTACCCATTTATCAAAATCCCCCGTAGTATGATTAAACTCCCCATTAGGCGCATATAGGCATTTTTAACAGTGTAGCAGTCGTTCAGGTCATTATGTCAATACCATGTATCCTCATAATCAGGACTGACAGGTATTTTAATAATACAATCCACATCTTCTGGTTCAAAAAGATCAGACAAAATATGAGGATCCCACGTTTTTGTCTGCTGATCTATTAAGCCTGCGACTACTGCATTCCGTAACGGCTCAGGCATTACTGTTTGAACAAGCGGACTAGGATTATCCTGCAACCACGGGTGTCCCCAGATTAAAGTTTTTTCTCCATTTCCAATTCTTCTTCGGACACCAGCACAAACAAGACTATGAGCAGCCATAATACTCCGCCAACAAAAACTGGGATTATTTCCTACTGTTGCATCAACTAAAGAGGTTTTAGGATAATACCGTGCTTTATACACTCTTGCTGCCAGGGATCCCGGATCAGTAAGAAATCGCCATGCATGTTTTCCAACATCGCCAGGTTAAATGCCCACAGATCCTTAAAACCCAACCCACCAAATTTCTTAGGGACACATAACTTATCCCATGCCTTCCAATGAATTCCTATGTCTGGGTTTTTCCCCCACCAATACCTGTTCATGGTCCTCTGAATAGATTCACAGACCGATTCAGGGAGCAAAAAAACACTCATTGAAAATGTTGGCATATATTCAGCCACACTTTTCAAGAACACCTCTTTGCCAGCCTGTGATAGCAATTTTTTATTCCAATTAATTCAAATAAACTCTAAATTCATTTATGAAGTTAGAAAAAGTTACAATTACTTTTTTTTAGCAGGTAATTTTCTGGATCTTTCTTATTAGGACTGACAGGTGTATTTAAATAAATAAAAATTTACCCGCCTAGATAAAGTCATTTACCCAATCTTAAGGACATCCTCAATAGTTGAAAATTTGAAAAAGTTTTGCAGGTGTGATTAGGAAAGAGAAAATGGAAGAAAATAAAAAAAGAAAAAAAGAAAAAAAAAAAACAAAATTTTGGAAAAAAAAAATTTAACTTACGCGCCTAGGCTGGCGCGTGCACCGCACGCGCCCGCCTGGGCGCGAGAGTTGCGCCTCATGTTGCGTGAGGCGCAACTCTCCACTTTGTTGGGGGACCCACCATGCTTGCCAAAGTCTTTATTTTGCAGGAAGAAAATTTTCACAAAATCTTGTATTCTCATTTGTTAAAATTTAACCCAATAAAAATTTACTATTTCAAAATTTGGCAAAGAACCCCTTTTGGGAATGCCCTAATAAGTGCTCATTTTCTTGCTCTCCCGTCGCTACTTCCACTATCGGCACCAAAGGAGTGCAACCAACATTGCTGCTCTAGGTAAGAATGTCAAGACTCAGGCCGTCGCAGACCCTCTTAATATTAACAAGAACATGGCAAGCATCATGTCCACTTCTAAGCCTCGTCATCGCAGACCCATCTCTCGCTGGTGATATCGAGGATCTGAAGCTTGCCCCCGAAGTTCCTACGAGCGCCACTACTTCTGTTGGCGTCACTGCCAATTTGTCTCGCAAGAAGGCCACTCGTCCCCAACTTGCCAAGTAGTTAGTTATTAAGCTTTTTATTCTTAAGGTTCCATTTTCTAGATTTTTTTGTCCATGTAAATAGTGCTTATCAAAATTCCCCACACTAATCATTTGCTTGTCCTCAAGTAAAAACATTATTCAACAAAAGTTAAATATATAGAAACCTATAACATTTCACGAATATTGGTCTCAAACACATTACAAATAATTAGCTAGCAGTTTATTTGAAAATGGAGTGAACTAAATAACCGAGCCCTCACAGGAATATCACTCATAACACACAAGTGTTTGAAAGGTGTGTATATTTCACTCAAATCAATTCCAAAAGAAATGCTTTATCATAGGCTTGCATATCTTCTCATTCTCTACTATAAGATAACATGCATGATTAAATCATAAGGACTTTTTCATGGTTGTAATGGGGCTAGGGTAAAAGGTAGGAATTATTTAGGAAATAGTTCAAAAAACCTTAAAAACTTAGAGGAGCATGATCGAATGAACTAATAATTCAAGATAAAGACCAAGTGAACTAAATCTCTCTTGTTGTTTTGATACTTCAACTCCAACCAAATAAACTATCACACCCCCCAAAGATAATAAACTATTTATACTTTATTCAACATGAACATAATAAATACTAATAATAACAAAAATAATATTAATTCTTTTTTTCTTTTCATTCTTCATACATTTTTTCTGTTTCTGTTTTGTTATTTTTGTTTTTTTTTTTCCTTTTCATTTCATTTTCTTTTTTTTTTTCCTTTTCATTTCATTTTCTTTTTTTTTTCCTGTTGTTTTCCTTTTCGTATTTTCCTCTTTTTTTTCTTTGTTTTTGAAGAAGGACAATTCCCATCAAACATTTCACCTTCTTTAGTTTAGGAAATTGAAACAATTACATCAACTCGTTTTCCATTATCTAATATCTTTTCTTTTTGAAAGTACCAACCAAAAGGCTCATAGAAGTCTAATGACCAATTCATTATTCTCACTCATATACTTTGTCAACATCTTTCCCCACACTCAAATCTTTATGCATTTACCCAATCAAAGCTCCCCCAATCTTTTAGGCAAGGTTAAGGAAATCAATGTCAAGTATAAGGCTTATAATGTGGTTCCATAGCAAAAAATATAGTTAAAAAGGCTCAAAGTGGCTAACTAAGGATAAATCAATCATGGTATGAATAGGCTATTTGGCTAGTGAGGCTAAAAATCAAAGATGACCTTAATCATATTAAAAATCATGCATTCATCAAATTAGCTTCAAAGAGAATCAAGGAAAGTTCTAGAGATACAAATCTATGGAAAATATCACACAAAAACAAAATAATTTGACTGAAGTGTTAGTCAAAGGCTCAAAATCTCACAGGTTCATGCTTAATTGCTTAGTTTAGCCACCACCATATCAAACAAAACACAAAACTTAATAATCATAATATGCAAGACCAATTATTCAATTATGTTATGAATTTTAGTAAAAATATTATATTTTTTGAAAAATTTATTAGTAATTTTTTTAAAAAGGGAAAATCAAATAATGAATAAGAGTTAAATCCCCTCCCCACACTTATTCTTAACATTGTCCCAAATGTTAAATAGAATTTAAAATTAAGGCACGTAAACAATAAAGAATGTGTTTAAAAGAATGGAACAAACTCCCCTTGTCATAAGCATGGTTGCAGTAGGCGTTGGGCACTAGTCGGGCGCGCGGGCAGCGCCTAGCGCCTAAGCGGCTTAGTCGGCGCCTAGGCGGCGCTAGGCGGTCGCCAAAAAAACAGTAGCAGACTTGCAATTTGACAATTTTAATGAGGTTGTTTTCAACATTCAATCAAATAACACATCCAAATAAATGACATAATGACAATTCATAAGTCATAACATCAAAAGAATATTAAAAAAAAAAAACTCAAATGAAATACCTAAATACTTCAATCATCCAAAGATTGAAAGTATCAAACTAATCTACGAGTGTATATATATATATATATATATATATATATATATATATATATATATATATATGTCACATAAATGAAAAAAATTAGCAAGGTCGAGTCGGTCGGGTTAACTCGACTAACTCGACAGAAATTGATGAGTTAACTCGGCGTAATCGGACGAGTTAGGCACTAGGCGGTTGAATTAGGCGCTAGTCGGGCGCCTAGGCGGCCGGTCTCCTAGGCGGGAGCATAGGGGGGAAATTGCCACGGCCTATGGGCGCCTAGCGCCTAGGCGCCGATTACTCGGTGCCTAGGCGGAATTTTTACAACCCTGGTCATAAGTAGCATGTCATTGGTTGGACAGCATCTCTTTTCAATCCTCATAAACTAGGCACTGCAGGCTAATTTCTTCAACATTACATGCCTGAAAACCTTCATAAAATGGCTTTAAACGATGTCCAAAACTTTAAAATATTTTCCAGTCTCTAAACTGTGTATTTCAACTGCACCATGAGGAAAAACATTAGTGACAACAAAAGGTCCTACCCATCTAGAATGCAATTTACCAGGAAAAAGTTTCAATCTAGAATGATAAAGTAAAACTTTCTGACCAACAGCAAAAAATTTCCTAGAAATCTTTTGATCATGAAATGCTTTTGTCTTTTCCTTGTAAATTCTAGAGCTTTCGTATGCATCATTACGAATTTCTTCAAGCTCTTGCAGCTGCAACTTTCTCAACTCACCAAATTCATCCATCCTCATGTTACATTGCTTAACAGCCCAATAAGCCTTGTGTTCCCACTCAACAGGAAAATGACACAGTTTACCAAATACCAAACGATAAGGAGACATACCTATTGGAGTTTTGTAGGCCGTTCGATAAGCCCATAAAGCATCATCAAGTCGTGTACACCAACCTTTCCTGTTCGGGTTAACAGTCTTCTCTAGTATGGACTTAATTTCTTTGTTTGAGATTTCTGCCTGTCCATTGCTTTGTGGATGGTAACCTGTAGAAACACGGTGAGTAACATCATATTTTTTTCATCAATACTTCCACCACTCTGTTGCAAAAATGAGTTCCACGATCGCTTATTAGTGCTCTTGGCATCCCAAACCTGGTAAAAATATTAGATTTAACGAACTCAACAACAACTTTAGCACAATCAGTCCGGGTAGCCTTAACTTCAACCCACTTTGATACATAATCCACAGCAAGAATAACGTAAACATTATTGTAAGAAGAAAGAAAAGGACCCATGAAATCAATACCCCAAACGTCAAATATTTCACAAACAAGTATAGGAGTAAGTGACATTTGATCCCTATAACCCAAATTTCTAGTTTTTTGACATTGCGCACATGTTTTGCAAAACATATAACAATCACGAAATAAGGATGGCCAAAATAAACCACATTCTAACACTTTACGAGCAGTTCTTTTTGGACCAAAATGTCCTCCACATGCATATGAATGACAAAAATTCAAAATGGAAGGAATTTCTTCTTGAGATACACACCTTCGGATTATTTGATCAGAACAATGCTTCCACAAATAAGGGTCATACCAAACATAGTATTTATCATCACTCTTTATTTTATCTTTTTGAGATTTAGATAAATCAACTGGTAATGTTCTAGTAACTAAGTAATTCACAATATCAGCATACCAGGGAATCGTCTTTTGAACAGAAAAAAGATGTTCATCAGGAAAATCATCTTGCAATGGCGAAGGTTTTACACTTGTAATTATCCTACTAAGATGATCAGCAACTAAATTTTCTGCACCCTTTTTATCTCGTATCTCCAGGTTAAACTCTTGTAGTAAGAGCATCCATCGAATGAGTCTGGGCTTAGCTTCTTTCTTTGAAAGCAGGTACTTAAGAGCTGCATCGTCAGAATAAACAATCACTTTAGTACCAAGCAAATATGAACGGAATTTTTTTAAAGCAAATACAATAGCTAAAAGTTCTTTTTCTGTTGTGGTATAATTGCTTTGTGCACTATCAAGTGTTCTCGAAGCATAATAAATAACATGTGAAGCTCTTCCAACTTTTTTCCCTAGTACAGCGCCAACTACATGATTGCTGGCATCACACATAAGTTCGAATGGAAGATCCCAATTCGATGGCTGAATTATTGGTGCAGATGTTAACATATCTTTTAGCGTATCAAATGAATCTTTGCATGCTTCATCGAACTCAAATGCCACATCTTTTTGCAACAATCGACACAATGGATTGCTAATCTTTGAAAAATCCTTCATAAATCTCCTGTAGAAACCTGCATGACCAAGAAAAGAACGAACATCCAGCACACTAGCAGGGTAAGGCAAAGATTTAATAACTTCTACCTTAGCTCTATCCACTTCAATCCCTTTAGAAGATACCACATGACCCAAAATAATACCCTGATCAACCATGAAGTGACATTTTTCAAAATTTAAAATAAGGTTTTTTTTTTTTCAATGCATCGTTCAAGCACTTTTGTGAGGTTAGCTAAACAGGCATCAAACGAATCACCATAGACTGTAAAGTCATCCATGAATACCTCTATAAAAATCTCTACAAAATCAGAAAAGATACTAACCATACACCTTTGAAATGTAGTAGGAGCATTGCAAAGACCAAAGGGCATCCATCGGAATGCAAAGGTGCCAAATGGGCAGGTGAAGGTCATTTTTTCTTGGTCTCCAGGTGCAACTAGAATCTGATAAAAACCTGAAAAACCATCCAGGCAACAATAATGGGAACGACCTGCTAAACGTTCAAGCATTTGATCAATAAAAGGAAGTGGGAAATGATCTTTTCTAGTTAATGCATTTAATTTTCTGTAATCTACACACATTCGCCACCCATTTTGAATACGAGTGGGCACCAACTCACCATTATCATTTTCTATCACTGTTATACCTGTTTTCTTTGGGAAAATGTGCACAGGACTTACCCACTTGCTATCTGAGATTGGATAGATTATACCTGCATCAAGAAGTTTCAATATTTCTATTTTAACCACTTCTATCATGGGTGGGTTCAATCAGCGTTGGGTATATTTAGAAGGCTTACACTCATCTTCCAACAATATTCGGTGCATACAAGTAGAAGGGCTCAATCCCTTAATGTCAGCTACAGTCCAACCTAAAGCTTGCTTATTGTAACACCCCGTGTTACGATCCCTAAAACCAATTAATCATTTAACCAATTACCCAAAAGAAAGAATTAAATTACAGTAATTAATTAGGAAAAAAAGCCCACCATAGTCCATGGGCCCTCACCTCTAAACCCAACCCCTAGTCCTAGAAGGAATGGACCCTAAGTAAGAATCTTAGATATATAAATAGGGAACTTAGAAGGCACCTAGAACTCCCACCACAATAATCTCTCACCACACCAAGAATTCCCCTAGGAGAAATCAAGAAAGAAGAAAGCTTAAAGAAAGACCCTTCATAGCCAAGGAATTAATTAAGGCTAAGAGGTAACCCATGTCTCAAAAAAACCTATTTTCATAGCTATGATTCCCCTCTTAGGATTTCCCCATAGTATTGTGTATTGATGATTTGTGATATTATTATTGATGATTGGTGTGATGATTCCATGAGTAATCTTGATGATCTTGATGATGAGAGGTTCTTGATAATTAGGGTGTTCTTGATAATTATGTGGCGGTGTTGATGATTATATGATGTTCTTGATGATTATATGACGTTCTTGATGTTTATGTGCTATCCTTATCGAATCTTGTTATTAGAAGATGAATTGTGTTCTTGGTGATTTAAAAGTGATTAGAACCCTAGGTTGTATCGTATGATATTATTCTTGGTGTATTGGGTGGGAATTCGCATGTTTGGGTGTTAATTATGTTTAGAAAAACATGATAGGTTATGTGCCGTATGTTCTTGCTTTTGGATCCGTTAATTGACTCGAGACTTGTCGAGCGACGTCAGAGTTTGCATTCACCGGAGGCGGTGGGGGTCTGGTGTTGCGAAGCGCCGCGTCGCTTAACGCCTGCGCGACTTGTGTTAGTTGCTGTAGGGTTTGAGTCAAGGGGTCGCTGGTGGCGGGTTCCGGAGTCCTTGATTGCCTTCTGTTCGGTGCCATGCTATCGTTTTTTCTGGTCAGTGTTTACAAGAATATTAAGTTAGGGTTCGACGCACTTCTGGTGAAGTGATAAGTGGGGAAGGGTTTTAGAATGGGAAAGGGCAACGTGTAGGGAAGTTATGTGTAGGTTTCACAATCTCACCGCGCGTCCTAAGGTTCCTGAGTCCTATGTTCCTAGGTACTTAGATTTAAGCCTAACGTCCTAAAGTCCGGTCTTAAGAGTCTTTTCCTAGGGTCAAACTTAGGCTCTGATACCAACTGTAACACCCCCGATTTTCAAGACATTTAAAACTTAATAATAAAGGTAACATCTCATTAAATCCCAAAGCGTAACATAAGTGTACGGGGTGCTATGCCACACCGGGGCTAGAGAACCCAGGTGCACAGGCTGTCTAACTACTATCCTCCGAAATATAAATGCATAACATGGCACGCAGGCCGAAAGGGAAACTATACTACTTCTACGCTCCAGTTCTAGCGCGCTCCAGTGCTCTAATCCTCTGTGCTTGAAAGCCAAATATATCTGTTCAGCGAGAGATGCTGGTAACCCACTCCAACGCGTTGAAATACTATACATATTGCAATATATATATAGATATACGAAAACCGTTTTGAGCATGAGAATATATCCTACGAACTCTAGCTTTAAAACCGGGAATGACTCGACAGATAAGATCAGACACAAGCAACAGTTATAACGAGCATATGCAGTTCACAACAGATAAGGCAGATAAGGCAAGCATAACAATAATCATAACCCAGCATGAACAATCCCCAATATAAACCCCATAGTCACATCCCCCAAGACACTCGTAATCACAACTCGTCCATGTCACAACACATAACGCACGTTGTTAGCGCCACAGGACCACTCGCATGCCGATACATGCGGGTCAGCGCGTATGGCTCTGACACGGCCCCACAGCACCATGCCCCGTATCGCAACACGGGGAGGTCGATCGCAACCGACCGATGAACCGCAGCTCATCATAATGTTTGATCGCAACCAAACAGTGGACCGCAGCCCAAGAGAGTGTGTCATCTGACTGTAGCCAGGAATTCCCATCTGACTACAGCCAGCCTCTGAACCGCAGCTCAGGAAAGATGTCACCTGATTGCAGCCAGGAATTCCCATCTGACTACAACCAGCTTCTGGACCGCAGCCCAGGATACCGTCATCCGACTGCAGCCAGGAATTCCCATCTGACTGTAGCCGGCTTCTGAACCGCAGCTCAGGGTAACCAATCCGATCGCAACCGAATTGGGGCAACACACACACATAACACATAGCAAGCACATGCAACCCACATTACACATTGGGAAGGGGGATAAAGCGTATAACAACCTTATGCGTGATCCATCACGTACTAAGAATAGTCCTAAGGGGTTCATACTTCTTCCACCTAGGTCAACGGGATACCAATTCAACTAGCATGCAATATAATAGACTCATAAACCTACGAACGGTACCCGAAATATCAAACTAGACAGAGGCACGACAAACGGGGTCCGTTGGGACACCACAGGGATCGGGGAAACATCAAACGGGGAAGCCAGGGTCCCGGGAGGGGGGGGGGAAATTCCAGCGGGTAGCCGGTGGGTGGGGGTCCACCCGCCGGCCATCACTGTTCCGGGCAGCGGGTGCCCGGCGGGCAGCTGCCCGCCCGCCGGCTGCCCGCTGCCGGAGCTGCCCGAATTGCCGCGGGTAGGTGGTGGGTCCCCTACCCCCCCACCTACCCCCCACTGACTCTTTTCACCACTTTTCGTCCCGGGAACCATTGTGGAACCCGAAACCATGCTTAGACACTTTTCAATGTAATCAACGACAACACATAGACAATTTAACGGATCAAATACGATAAACGAACGGCACATAACCTATCATGCTTTTCTAATCATAATCAACACCCAAACATGCGATTTCCCCACCCGATAATCCAAGAATAATATCATACGATACAACCTAGGGTTCTAATCACTTTTATATCAACAAGAATACAATTCGTCTTCTAATTGCAAGATTCGGTAGGAACAACACATAATCATCAAGGATGCCAATTAATCATCAAAAACATCATAATCATCAAGAACAACACATAATCATCAAAATCCAAATTAATCATCAAGAACATCATAATTATCAAGAAACTCCCAATATCAAGATTATCAAGATTCCTCACGGAATCATTTATATCGACATCAATAATAATCATCATCAATCGCCATTTACAATAATATGGGGGGAAACCCTAAGGGGAAATCATAGCTATGAAAATAGGTTTTGTTGAGACATGGGTTACCTCTTAGCCTTAATTAATTCCTTGGCTATGAAGGATCTTTCTTTAAGCTTTCTTGCTTTCTTGATTTCTTCTAAGGGAATTCTTGGAGCTCTCCTGGGGCGATGGGGCGTTTAGGCGTGTGGGGGGTTCTGGGTGTCTCCTAAGTTCCCTATTTATATATTTAAGACTCCTAATTAGGGCCTGAATGGTATGGGTTTACTAATTTTATTCCTTATAGGACTCAGGGACTTGCTTTAGGGATAAGGGTCCACGGTTCATGGTGGACCCTATTAATTAATTAAAGGGGAATTTAGCATAATTAATCATATTTAATTATTATTAGCGGGATTAATTAAATAATTAATCCAGGATTAAAGGCCGTAACACGGGGTGTTACACTCTCCCCCCCTTACAAGGGGCTTCGTCCCCGAAGCCCGGTGTCATAGTCCACCCTTTCACCCCTAGACATCTCGTAGTTCGGCCTCCTGGGTAGGAGTGTGGCCCTACGTTTGTCTTAGTTTGGGATAGGCTGTACTTTTGGTGGCGTTGTGATAGAGAAGTTATGGGTGTACCTTGGTTTCCTGCGCTGGAACTGGGCGCCCCACGTGTGCCCAAGGCGGCCTCGATTGCTGCCACCCTTTGATCGAGTACGCGTGTGGTGCGAATCAAGGATGAGAACCCTTCTTCCATGATTTGGTTTTGCCGGTTGAGCTGTGCGAGAATGCGCTCATTGACCGAGCTCTCGTTTTGATCCCTCGGGTCCCTTCCGGATCGTGGTTGTACTGTCGGGTCGGGCCCGTCATCCTCCTCCTGTTCCTCATTTTCTTCCGTGCCTCCGCAATCTTGCATGGCCCGCTTGAGCTTTTTGTTGGAGATGTCCAACCGATCAACCAATTCCCTACGTTCCTCCTCGGGTTTTTGGCAAATTTCTTCGAGGGTGAGATAGTGTCCTCCCTCGGTGTAGTAGATGTCGTTGCGGCGGAGGTTTTGGGCATTGAAAACCATGCCATTGGCGGTCTTTACCTCGTGTGGCTTAGATCTACCCCCTTTTTCTCCATGATCCAACTTAGGATCATCCCGTAGGGTAGGCTAAGCCGGTTGTTCGTTTTACAGAATTCCATGTGCTTGAGCATGAGGGCCGGCAAGTTGAACTTGATTTTGTGTTTTAGGAGGTACGCAAAGGCACACTCCAAGCTTCCCACTTCCTTGCTCTTATTATTGGTGGGCAAGAGGCTATCGGTTACAATCATAACCAATATCTTTTGCTCCGCCGATAGCCATTTCCGGTGTGGTCGGGTGGCCGAGGTGAACCCATCCTCTTTCCCGAGTAAGTACCCGAGATAGTCCTTGTATCCCGTGGTTTGGGTGTCAATCCACCCCTTCCGGTCGTAGTTGGACACACCCGTGGTGGTCAATTTCAAGAGCTTGGCCAAACGGCCTTCGGAAAGCACAATTTCTTTGCCGCGGACTTTGGTGGTGATCTCTACCTTGTCACCCCGTTTGGTGGCTACAAGGTGTTGATAGAATTCCTTTACCAATTCGGGGTACGTATCCCCTTTGATGGTGAGATACGTATATAAAAGTCCTTGGTGTCTAAGCATA